TGGTGGGTTTATGGTGTAATTTTTAGGAAAAAAAAACCTGTAAAATCCCTTCAACAAACTTAAAATATAATACATAGTAATGTTTTGAAGTCAAACTAAGCTGTTCCTTTTGTATTTAATGATTTTCCGTTTGAGGAATTTGCAAAAAAAAACTGCAGTGCATGATGGGTAGGATCTAAAGGCTGTCTAACGTCCTCGTCCGTCTGACGACTGTATATAGCCCGATTATATGCTGTAGCCCTTTTAACTTGCTTGATTGCAATTTCACCAGGTAAGCTACCTTCTTTAAACTGCATTTTGTCAGACTACATATTTCGGGATGTTTTATTGTAGTCTTTGTAAATATGTATATAGTTTAGCCTAACCCAGCCACTTCAGGGAGCAAGCCAGCTCAGCTAGGTGCTGGTCCCAAGCCCGGATTAATGGGGAGGGTTGGCATCAAGAAATAAAGAGACTGTATATATATCTAGAGACTGTATATATATATATCTTCAGTGCATCACTGATGTCAAAATGTGGGAAATATCTGGTTGTATAAATAAATGTGGTAAAGTAGGTTAATGATTCTGTGCTGTCTAAATTGTATAAAAAGTTAGGCTACATGACATTTGAATGGGCTATACCCGGAGGCATGAACGCATTATGAGAATGAGAAAGACGGTGCGTGCACACTAATTAACCTATAACCTATTCACTTAGACAATACACTGTAATTTTTGCAACAGAAATGGATAAAATGGGCAGGCAGCTGGAGGTGGAATTATTGTCCTTGGTAAAACTCTCTGTGACGGTCTCCACACTGGTAACAGCGTTGTTTTCTAGGCATAGGCAAACAAATCTCCTCCTGCCTGAAAAAGCGTAGAAAACGCAATTTAGCCACTAAAACTGTACAGTTTTTGTGAGGGACAGTCTAATTCTCTCGTTAAGTTTTTTGTGTTCTTGCACCAACACTCGTTTCAGCTCCGCCACATATACTTGTGTGTGTGTGTCTGTGTCTGTGTCTGTGTCTGTGTCTGTGTCTGTGTCTGTGTGTGTGTGTGTGTGTGTGCGTGCGGGAGGGGGGGCCCGATCTGTGTTTTGCCCCGGGGCCTTGTGTGCAGTTGTTCCACCACTGATTATAAAGATCCAAAACCTGTGAAATTTATATCACTATATGTTAAACAATGAATCACATATGACTTATTGATTTTGCCTAGTAGATGTACCCTTTTCATCAACAAAGGATGAAAAATTGTACCACAACTGCTGAAGAAACATTTTAAACGTAACTAAGGTACTGAAGTCACATATCTTTGCAGGGAGGGCATTGTTCTTATTTTTTCCACTGGATCTTTTGGCAGGTGTTTGTGTGTAGCAGTTACGATAAACCATGCTGAATACTTTCAAGGCTTGGCTGTTTGATGTGGGTCTGGAGAACCAGCATTCAGCGTAATGGGGTAATTGGAGCTCGTGTTTCTATGGTAACACCTCTCTCTCCCTGCCACCTGCGACGCCAGGGGTTTCCTCTGAGACGAACGCTGTCACACCCAACACAGAGAGCAGCTATGACTTCACTACCAGGACACGCTCCACCAATGATGATGGCACCTCTTTGGACCTGGAGTGGGAGGATGAGGAGGGTGAGGGACTGGACTTTGGCCTGTATGGTCTTGTATTTTAGTTTGGAAATTGTGGTCAGGGGAACATTGCGACTGAGAGACGAAATCTGATTTATGAAATCTCACTCTTCAAAGTTTCATGGAGCGTTTATCTAAATACAGTGGACCCTTGGTTTGCGAGCTTAATTCATTCCGGAAACGTGTTTGTAATCCAAAGCACTCATATATCAAAGCGAATTTTCCCATAAGAAATAATGGAAACTCAGATGATTCATTCCACCGCCCAAAAATGTTCATATAAACATGATTAATACAAAACATAAAGTAAAAATACATAAAACAAATTAACCTGCACTTTACCTTTGAAGAATCGTGGATGGAGGAGAGGAGAGGAGAATGGTTATTTTGTAGGATGACTTTCACTATAACTAATGGAATCACTGCTATTTGTTGGCTCACTGGAATCTTTTTCTTTTTGTGCAACTTTAACAAGGAACTTATATCCAATGACAGCTGCTTATGTCTCCTTTTTGATTTTGCGGAAATGTGACATTGCATTGTCGTTAAACAGATTCATCGCTCACACTGCTACGGCCTTATTCGGGTGGTGCTTTTCTACTAAATTTTGACTATATACGAGTGAGGCACGCATGGGACCAAGCATGGGAAACAATTACCCACAATCCCGCAGCATGAGAGAGGGAAGAACCATCAGCTCAGTTGTGATCATGTGATGCTCGGCAGTAATACGTAATACTCGTATTGCAAGACCTCGCTCGTTTATCTGTTAACATTTGTTTAACATTTTTGCTCATCTTGCAAAACACTTGCAGACCAAGTTACTCGCAATCCAAAGTTTTACTGTATTCCAGAAATGAAGACACATTCACTGAGTTAGGTCTTAGTCTTGGTGAGAGGCCCCATTTTTCCAGTGTCGTATCGCGGAGCTTATGGGAATCAGCCGGGTAACTAGCAGACTCTTGTAAGCAAATCTTTCATTGGTTGGTCTTAGCAGTCAGCTTATTTCTTTCCCAGATAATTTGTGCGTTTACATCAGTAGCTAGGCAGAAGTGCTTAGGTTTATTTGTGCTAAGTGCATATATTCCAGAACTAGGCCCCCTTTCATAACCCTTTCAGATCCCATTAGCTATTATTTTATTTTAACATCGGTGAATAGTAAATATTGCATCCATTATTCTACGTATTCTACGTATATCTGCTTGAGTACTATACTTAGGGGGTAAATTAGTTCACGTATTTCGCAACTAATTGATTGATTAAACAGAGTACTGATTGGCGAAAGTCTGTAAACACGTAACTTTCTAGGGGTTTAGACGCCTCCTTTAGTTAGTACTGATACATTCTGTCCAGTTCAATTAATTGAAAATTGCAAAGTTTGAAAAGGAGCATTGGGTTGCATGCAATGCTGATTATATGGGGGGCAGAGGCTAATGTCGAATTTCCTGCATCGGTGGCACAGGAATGGTGCGAGGGCTGGTGGTGTGTGAGCGCTCCCGCACTGAGGAGGACATCCTGCGGGCGGCGCTGCTGCCAGGGAGAGGCCAGGCCGCCAGCGGCCCGGCTTCTGCCTCGGAGGACTCCAACACGCTGGAGTGGGAGAATGACTTCGTGCGGACACATGCTGAAGACACGGGCGACTCGGAAAGCAATGGCTTCTCCACTATGCTGCTGGAAACCCCCCCAGGGAATCCTGACAATACCTCAGTTTCAGACAGTCAGGACAGATAGTCTTGGCTTGGACAGGATGGGGAAAAAGTCTGGCATTGATTCATAAATCTTCAGTTCAGGTTCATTGACACATCTGCTGACAGTAGCTGTTTGGTGATGTGATTGCACCCAGTTTGGAGATGTTTTTGGGTGATTTATTAGATAGCCCTGCTAGATGTTACAACATGAAACCCCAGCCCACAACATCAATCGGATTTTATTATTCAGAGTTTGCATTTTTATCACTTATTAGGAACGATGCTTGTTCATTGTTTGTTCTTATTCTCACTGGCCATCCTTTCAGTATTTTATTTAATTCAGCCTATTTTTTTGCCAGTGGACAGGGAACAGAATCTGCCTTTATGGTTTTCATATGACCTATGTTTCCCATACAGGTCTTTTTGAGTCAAGTGCAATTTGTAGCTCAGTTGTAGTTGTGAGGCTGTATTGGTCCTGTATTCACCTTAAAATCCACACAAGGAGACCCTGAGGGGCCCATTACTGTGAACATACAAGAAGCGATGGACAAGTCAACTGTGCACCCATAATTGGGACACAGTTTCATTTTATTCAAAGCTGAAGCCACACCTAAATTCTCAGCCCTGCACAATCCCTCCTCCAGCTTTCCTCCATGAACACAGAGAGGGTGGCAAGAGAAGCATCAACACTTTTGTACACTAGCAATTTTCTACTTTTCATTTGAATTCAGGGATGTGCACACATTTTTTAATCTCCTGTAATTCTCTCCTCTTATTTGCCATCACTGTCACTGAAAACCTCTGCAAATATCTATTTTGCCGTGTCCTGCAGGGGTCAGTTTTGACGTAGAGTAACAAAAGTTTGATCTATTTTTATTATTTATTTAATTTATTCTTATTTTGTGAAGAAGGAGGGCATGTTGAATGGGCCTTTGGTTTCTTGTGGTTGCCTGCTACCTTCAGTGGTGAAATACAAGGAAGTAACCTTCTGTTTGTATGATTTCTGAGCCATGGTATATGAGAAATGTCCTCACCTGTACGTAGTATGAGTGGCTTGCATTGAAAGCTTGAAGTATGCTTATAGTGAAGAGCTTTAGCTGCTGCTTGATATCAGTCTTGATCACCAGCAATAAGCTGAACCAGATTCTTTTTGCTCTGCTTTGTAGCAACATCAACACAAGTGATCTTTAAAAAAAACAGAGGCTTAGAAAGCCTTTTGTCTACATTCCTTGCTAGAGCCAAGAAGGCAATGTCACATGGTCACATCACTTTCCATTTTCACTAACTGCTAATTAAATTAAGGTGATTGACACCCTAAACTTATAACTTATCCAAGGCAACAGCAAGTTACAACCCTAGATGGCAAAGGAAAGCTTGGAATTGCCAGTTCAGCTGGACTGCATGTCTCTGGGTGTGGAGCCAGAGTGACTCACCTCAGATCTTGCTGTGACTCCTGATGGGTGTCTGGGACTCCGTATATTGAGCATGCATTATAGGAGTCCTTACCCTCTGGCCGAACTGGTACTGTTGAAGGTCAGACACAGTCCTATCGGACTGGCTGATGCTTGTAAATAGTCTCGTGTGCACTAAAATGAACAATACTCAGTTTGACAAAATTTCCATAAACATGTTCCTTTTTCAGTTGAATGTGCTAGTGTGTTTTATAAGCAACTGAGCCTTGATATGTTTACTTTAGGACACTGGATAAAAAAAAAATAGTCCAGTGTTCATTTTGTATGTGTTTTGTCTATGGCTACAATCCAAAGTTGTTGTCCATTAAGTCGGTCATATTATGCATTTATGTCATTCCAAAGTGGTACTTGGTATATGTATGGACAGGGGAGACCGCTAAAGGTGTAAAGTCCTTAAGACATGAGGTGAACTTTAGCACAACTTTTGGTTCATATGAGTTTTTGGTTAGTTTTTATGGAAAGCAAACTCTGGCTTAAATTTACGATTTGAAATAAGGATTTTATTTGTAGTTCGGAATTGAATGGATGTATAATTCTAATGTCTTAAGTCTTTGTATACTTACACTTATGACAGAATGTCATGAAACACCCTTAACTCAAGGCCAATGTTTTGGTAAAATCCTGGTTGTTCATTGGTGTGTAAAAGTAGGTGTGGCCATGGAGAGCCAATAAGGCCAAGGGTATTAGTCCTGCTATATTTGTTAAATGTGCATAGCATGTTCTAGTATTACTCATGAAAATGTGTATAAGCCTGTATTATGAGGTACTGTGAAGCAGGGTAAGATAATATGTATCTTCTGTATGCTTAAGTGTCTTCTATCCAGGGGGGCTCACTATCAAAAAGCAGAACACGCATGGTGTCTGCTGATCTGGTGCCCACATTTGACCTCTGACTTGCAAAGGACAGCTTATAATATCATTTGATCAACTCAAATGCCTTAAAAACTGCCGTCGTCTGGTCAAGCAAGGAGATGACCGCAGGCTGCTGGGTTTCATGGGATCATTATGAATTTCATGTTTGACTAGAAATGCTGATATTGTGCTGAACACTGCTCGCATGTTAGACTGAAAATATATTCCAAAACGCTCAGCAGGGGCTCTTTCTTGTTTTTTAAGGAAGTGGACCTGTAGACAAGTTTCGAAAACCCCGAAAGGCCATCACCATTGCTTGTTTCGGCAAAGTTGTTTTTACTTTATTTAGTCAAGGAGAGATCCGCACATTTAGTTATGTTGTACCTCCTGCAAATTAGAGGTTAAGTAATAAGGGCTTACATCTGCTTGCTTGGGATAAGGGTGTCAGAAATTTAACTGCATTTGAGCCAGAGTTTTGCCTTTTGTGTACAACGCTATGCAGGTCAAGATACATTTACTTGAACACTTTGGAAATGTTTGCTCTTGTGCAATTGATGAATATTATTTTGATTCAATAATGTTGTGAAACTCTTGAGTTGAATTTCACTACAAATAAAATTTAAAAATGATGGATATTTGTTTTTATTTAATAATGTTGTGAAGCTCCGTGTTGAATTTTGCTGCAAATAAAATGAAAAATGATCCTTTAAGATGCATCTTAATGACTTAATCTCACTAATTTTCAGCTAGGTTTTGCTTTATATTGACCTCATATTCCCCTGTGACAAGACCATGAGAAAATTATTTAAAATACCACACTTTGATATAAAAAAAATACCTCGTATTTAAATATTTTTAATGAGTCCAACCACAAGAATATTCTAAATGCACACTTCAATGTTTTAAAATGTGAATAAATATGAACTTAGAGGACTACTTTTCATTTGAATCTTATTCCCATTTTTTCCAGAAAAATAAATATAATACTGTTCTCTCCCCTGCCAGAAGTCACGTGGCATCAAACAGTCAACCAAGCCTGGCTTCTCAGTCTGTTAGTTCTTTAGCCTTATTGATGATTCCAGTTTTCTGTAAGGAAAATCCAAGCCAGGGCAATTCAAATCAGTCTGAGCACTGCTATTTCCAGCCTTCCTTTACATGTGAGCCAGGTGTGAAGCCTCTGAGTAATTATTAAACTAACTGCCAGGGAGAACTGAAAACAAGGCCTGGATTTGGAATTGAGGGTGAGATTTCAAGAGCCCTGTTTTATGCCAAGGTGAAATGACTCCATTTGTGTAATTATATTAAAATGGTTCATAAAATTCTTAATTAGCTAAACTTCAGTTATATGTGAGGTATTTAAAACTGCTGGATCCAGCCTCAAGTTTAACTATGCTGTAGCTGAAGCCATTCGCATTGAATGAATAAACATTACATTTATATAGCGCTTTACAGAACCAATGGGGAGCCACTTCAATCACCACCACCGTGTAACTGGATAATGCAATGGCAGCCATTCTGCACCAGTACACTCACCATATGTTTGTCAAGGTGGTGAAGGGGCAGGAGANTTTACTTCTAAACGTATAATAAATGTTAAAAGTTTTGTTTTGTTGCATGTTTGACTTTCTGAATACTGCGATATTGCATTTGGCCATGTAGAGGCTCCTGACGTAATACAGCCCTCCAGAGCACATAGTGAAAAATGCAATAAAAAGTCAATGGCGAAACTTTGAAAGAATGAACTTCAAATGAAACTTAAGGGTTATTTACAGGCTCATATTTTGGTGTTTCTCCATCTAAAGTGTGTACCTTTAAGTGTGCGTAACTCCCAGATTTAAGTCTATGGGAGAATACACTTACAGTATAGTGACAAAAACACACAGATATGGGCATTTTTGACTTACAAGTATGGGAGAATCAACCCACTAAGTGAATAAACTTAGTTATAAATGTGATAGATGTTTTCTCTTCTTTGATTTAAATATTAGCCATATGTGTTAATGGTATGCTTTTTCACTTTATGTTATTTCCAGGGGTGATGTGTCACTCTGTGGGTTTGCACTCTGTGCCCATGTCATGAAGCTGCTGGTCCCAATTCCACGGCTGGCAGAGTGATTTCACCGCTGAGTCCTTCCCCATGACTGTCTGATCCTACTTTGTCAGTTGCATGTTGCTTTTATAAAATTTGCTAAACAAGGAAATGTAAATTTATTTCACAGCAGAAATTCAGTACCTTGCACTAGAACTGTTCCATATCATAACACCGGTATAATTTTAATTTATCATCTATTTTACCAATGGTTCGATTAATCTATGGAATTAATTTTCCTCTAGAAAAATCTAATTGACAGTGTCATATAAGTTTATTTTGAAGAACAACATACTGTATGTCACTGTAGGGCTTTAGATAACGGACACTGGATTTTCGGCACTTTACAGACGTTTACTTATGTCCACAATTTTATAAGCCTAAAATATTGAGAGATAAATTGTGACGCCCAAAAGCTAGTAATCTGTATAAATTCGGCACAATTGACTTGAGGGCGAGATTTGAAGAACCCTATGCTATGCCAATTTGAAATGATTCCATTTGTGTGCCTATATTGAAACGGTTCTTAAAATTCTTAATTAGCTAAACTTCAGTAATATGTGAGGTATTTAAAACTGCTGGACCCAGCCTTATGCTGTAACTGAAGCCATTCACATTGAATGAATAAACATTACATTTATATAGTGCTTTTAAATTAAAAGCATGAAAGACGACGATATTATAGTTCCACTCCACCTTGGTATAAAGCTCTTACCTGACTGCACTAGTTTCTTCTTATGCATCGTTGACTAAACAAACAACACAAATATACTTATGTGCATTTCTGTTAATAATTTATTGAGCATAATTTTTACTGAGAAATTAATTTCATTATAACTTTCTGGTGTTGTAATTTTATTGTACCATTTTATGTTCAAGGGTGACAAAAAGACATCCTAAAGCAGCAAGGTTCTGAATCCTTTTTCTTTAACTGGTAAGATCTCTTATACCTGCATAAGATGCTGATCATTCATTCATCTTTCAAACCACTTATCCAATAGAAAGCTTGGGTGAACTTGGAGCCAATCCACGAAAATAAAGGACCCCGAGGTAAAGGAACAGCCTGGACTAGGGCTGGGTGTCCTCGGTAAAATATCGTATCATGATTATGACCATTCATATTGTCGCCAGTTCGAATATCATATCGTGATATAGCCTAAATACTTGTTTTCTTGCATAATTGACAGTCATAGTGCACTATTTTTACACAAATTCTATCAAGATATGAGTCTGTTGGCATAATTTACCTGTCACATCCTCTATAATTATTAGTAAAACAATTTGGACATCAAAATCAGAAAAACTCAAAACCACCTGTCATATGTTACTGTTTTCTAGGTATGAATTTTAGAATATCGTGGGAAATACTGATATTATTAAAATCTCTGAAAAAACTGTGATAACATTTTTAGGGCATATTGCCCAGCTCTAGTCAAATCCATTCCCTGGTAAAATCTGGATCCCTAGTGAGGTAGTCACAGAAAAAAAATGCCTAACAAAACGTGCTATTGGTGTTTTCTAGTGTTACGCCCCACAACAAAAATATATATTTTATATGATTTATTTATTAAAATTAGATTTCAGTTTGTATTCTTTTCAATTTATCGCCTTTTTCATGTTCTGAATCTGCTTAAGAACAATTCTAAGAGAATCTTAAGCTAAAATGGAGCACTGAAGTAAAAAAAATAATGACTTAAATAGAGATAATTATCCAGTCTGGATGCAAATCCACCTCCAGGCGCACACACACATGTCCATTTACAGACACCAATTCACTGTGCATGTTTTTGGATTGTGGAAGGAAAGTCATGCATACACAGGGATAACATGCAAACTCCATACAAGGAGGTGGAGACATTTAACCCTGCAGATGTGAAGCTACAATGTTAACTACCTAAGCCACCATGTTCCCCTCAGAGGACTGAACATTCTTCTAGTCGCTTATCCAATACAGGGTCCTGAGTAAGACATTAAATTCCACAATCTTTTTGAGGCACCATGCACATTTACAGACACAGAAGGTTGCAAAAGTGAGACATGATGTTAAAAAGGCAAAAGTGAGTTTGAACATCTCCAAAGAGGAGATGAGTAGATGTCATAAAACTCACAGCCAAAGGTACAAGTCAAAAGTCAAAATGCCCTTGTATTCATAACCATGGGCTGTGACACTTCTGAAATAAAATCACAGTGGTGTAAAACAAATCTGTACATGCAAACACACTGATAAAATGGAGCTGGCCCATTAGCTCATCTAGATCTGAGACATATGAAGATTCATCCACTGAGGCGGCAGAAGTACAAACGGCCGTTTTCAGTTAAGCCTTCCCTTCAGCTATGAAACCACTAAAGAGGTTTCACTTTCATGCCAGCGTTGCATGCAAAGCTCTCATGAAGAATCACAAAGAGCCCACAACAACTCAACTCTATGGCATTTAAAGATTAAAGAGAAATTAAAGTGTGACGCATATAGTAAACAAAGCCTGGTAAGGATTACCACAGTAAAGTGTTAACCTGAGTCTAAATTGAGACTTGCAGACATGTAAATTGTATCTGGGTTGACAATCTGTTGCATACTGAAAAACGTTGGAGTCATAATTCTTAGCAGACTCTTGAAAAGTTAACTGAGTCATTCTATCAGGTCTCTAATACTCACAAGAAGTGATGAGGTCTCTAAGGTTTCATTCACCCAGCAGAGAACTTCCTACAATGTAGTTTCGTCATTTCTGTAAATTTTCAATCATACAAAAATACATAGTTGCATCCATATACAGGCTTGTGAGTGCGTATGTCTCTCCATTTCTCTTTAGATCCTGTTCGATTCCGCCGTCCAGCCAATCCCCTTCCAGGTTTTCCATCTCTCCCTCCAAATGCAGTGCCAAAATTGGACAAACTGGTTTCATCTCCTCGTTACTGTTTCCCGCCTCTCATCTGCTAGGACTGTAAAACAAGCCCCGCAAACCCATTTAACAGCTTTTGCTGCCTCTACCCTTTGTTCCTTGCAATTCTTGTATTTGATTTCCTGTGTGTAACGATCTTGTTTTTGCTCTCGGTGATTCCTCTTTCGGATTTCAACTTGACTTTGGTTATTCCGCGTTTGTGATGTTTACCCGTCTTTCTATCCCAGTGTTTGGCTAATGACTCCCCTTTTTGCATTTCGATTTGGACTCGGTTGCCCTGTGTATTCTTTGTAAATAATCTTTATATATTTCTGCGTAAGGGTTGTAGGGAGTGGCTGCCCCTTATTTTCTGCATGTGAATCGTTTGCCTCTGTTTTGTGGTTAATGAGGGTAGCGATTGTCTTTTGTTTTCTTTTCTGTTTACGGAAGTCTTAACTGGCGCTCACGTAGGTAGTTCCCTTGTTTTGTTTATTATTTTAGCCTTTGGCACTGAAGGCCACCCTGGTGTTTCACATTTATCTCACTATATCAGAATATACTTGAAATATATTTGATCTTAACTATAACTATTCTGTCAGTCAGTTCTTTTTCCGTCCCCTTCTCCTTTCTCCCTCCCTGTTCCCTGTTGTCCTCCCTGTTTACTCCTTGACCCTTGACCAGGATGTAACAATATGTTAAAAATAAATAAAAGCTCTGAATGACTACAAAAAGAAAAAAATCACTGCTACCAAACGCTGTGCAAAAATGTGTCGTATAAAACTCCATGCAAGGCACTTTTTCTGCGTCCACTGGTTTGCTGAAGGCCAGGTAGTGTGAAGAACCCACGGCTGATGGAAGGAGCACAGCCCACCAGCCAAAGAGGCATCACTTCTGGATGTAGATGATGACGATGCACAGAGCTCCAACCAGGCCCAGAGCCTGGATGCCGAGGAACCACAGCATCACCCAGAAGAGGACCACCACCACGGGCTCCACGATCTTGTCCCCGAAGTACAGCTGGGTGAAGCCCACCCCCCTCAGGCACTTGTTCACCTGTCCGAACAGCGTCCCCAGCCGCTCGCAGTCATCCAGCGGTGCCAGCTGACGCATCTCCTGGCTCCATCTCACATCTGCCTGGGTCAGAACATTTTGTTTTGTTTCAGGCTGCATTCATAAGGGCTCATTTTGTACACTGGAGCCTGTGCATAGAGTTTACTGCAAATCCCTGAGGGTATTGGCACACACACACACACACATGCACATACACACACACACACACAAACAGAAAAACATAGATACTTCCTTACTTTCATTACTCTATTTGGAATTTTTGCATGTATCTGTATCACCTGCCATTATTTTAGAATGTTTTTTCTGTAATAAGATGGAAAATCTGAGTTCTTAGACCAATTTAGTGTAGAATTTATAGGTACACATACTGCAGAATAATTGTTCACTATCTCTTAAAACTACGAATGTTACGCAAGGCTGTCCTTAGGCAGATGATTCTCTCTGACCCTCAATTTGCTTTAAAGTGCCCGCCAAACTAATTTAAACACTACAGCGTATTTTGGCAAAAGAGTTCAAATGCTTTGATCTTGGAAATCAGACTTTAATCCTTAACACTACAGGAAAGTAGAGCAATTGTTAAATAATTCATTAAATAATCAGAGTTAAATAACTCTTGAACTGAATGGTAAAGTCCCAAGTAAGGTCCTGCTGACGTACCTAGAGGGAAAGTACTGAACCTAGATTACCAGGGGAAATTTTACTGCTCAAAACAGTCTTTTCTTTGTATCACCAGAAATTAATCACCTTCTTCTTTGGAGATTACTGAATTCGGACCTGTCTCTCTTAACCCCCCCCCCCCCCCCAAGAGAAATAAGGAACAAAAGAATTGGAATTAATCAACCTAAAAGAAATTATCCTGTCCATAAGAACAATAAAATTAGGAGTTCTTTAACACAGAGTTGAGATTTGAATTAGATTTCTATTATATTTGATATTGTGCAGGATCATTAACAAGCCAATCAAGTTTTCTTTTAGATCTTACTGTTTTCTCAAGAGCTGATTATCGGAGAAAAATAAAAAATTAGCGCAGTGAAGGAAAAAAGTATTTTTTATTATTCCTTTGCTTTGGGTTGGAGAGTGGGAAGAAACGCCTATTAAATATATTTTGTATAAATGAATAAATGTATCGATATCTTGAGCTGTAACCTCTAATTAAGTTACTAATTTACTAATTGAAACACTGGTGACACAGTATATAGATATACCTACAGTATATAGATACAGCAGGACACAGTCTGTGTTTCTCTATTCAAATAAACATATAGAAGAACAGCGGTTTATTTGTGATTGTGCTTTAAGTCACACTTGCAAAGAAAGTTGTCTATATGTATAATTCCAGTGGTCTTTCGAAATTAATCAGAAATCTGCATGACATTTTAGTTAATTAATAAGTAGTAATCAATTGATTATATCGAAGGTAAATATCGGACAAGAAATAGGCCGATCCGTAAAAAAAAAATATTAAAAAACGCGAAAAAGCTGTGTTGCAAGAATTAATCAGAGGGCGGCAGAGCAGTTGGCTACCTCGATCACTGGTGGCACCCCAGCTCAACACACCGTCTTAAAAAATGCCGCTTTAGCTCGTTTATAAAGCGCTTGACGCCCACATATGCGATCCCAGACACTGCAGTACGACTCCATAGGTACTTCACTCCATTAGATCTAAGTAATCCAGCCAAGCACCACTGAGTGCGCCTAGTGAAAACACTCTGATTCATTAACTTATAATGATATCATAATGTAACAAATCAATTCTTATATTATCAGATCAGCGTTCAGACAGCATACCTGCTCAGATTGATCCGGAGAGTTTTTCACCGTGTAATGCGAGGACTGCGCGTTCAGTCCGCTCCCCCGTTTAAAATGCGACGCTCGCCGCTCTTTCACCGCTAGGTTGACAGCTGACATGCTTATCAGATCGTCGTGTTATACATGTTTTTGTTTCAAGGGTAAAGTGCTGTTTTTTATCAGTTGCCTAGACAGCATTACTTCCTGCCCCGCACAGGCGCAACGTGGTTATTTCTGTTGCAATGCCTGCCGGTGCGTCATAGGGGGCGGAGTGGAAATTCACACATTTGTTGTCATTGTTGTTAGTCTTATGCCCATAGAAATTAATATAGAGTCCCTACAAAGATAAAGATACTCAGTGTGTGTGTGTGTGTGTGTGTGCGCGTGTGTGTCCTGTGATCCAGCGTGTCCCTTGCCATGTGTCCTGTGTTTCTGGGGATATATACATTCTCAGCTCACTGCAGGCCTTTTCTGGATAAGCAGTTACTGAAGATGGTTGGATGGACGCTTTCTCTTTTGGATGTCTTTTCCTCTATTTCCTCATAGAACTGTGGTGTGTAATAACCCAGACATGTCAGAGATCCCAACCAGCATCCCAGGAGACACTGTGAAACTACTGGTGGAGAAGACAGCCCTGGGGCGGTTGCCAGGGCGATCTGTCTCCTCCTTTATTGTCACTGCAAAATATGCAGGTGTACAGTGAAATGAAATAGTGTTTATCTGAGACCTTAAAATGCCTTACATGGAACATAAAGTAAACATACAATACAATAGATAGATAGATAGATAGATAGATAGATAGATAGATAGATAGATGGATAGATAGAGGCTCTGAGGCTGAGTTTGATTGTATATTACATATACAATTCTAAGCAATGAACGAACAGTGCAGGTATAAAGTACACAGTGTGAGGCAGTTCTTGCAGTGGTGTGTGCAATTGATGCATTATGTGACAAGTGCAGAAGACATTTTGAATTCATTATATTCATATCTGAATGCCCATCTTTCTACTAGCTTCTGTGGCTGAAGTATCCTGCATGCTGTCCGTACACTAGAAATATCTAGAAATCAGTACTTCAGACACTGCATGAAAAGAGCTGTATCCGGACAAATATGGTATGGGAAATCCCCGCTAAACTCTACGTTTGCCAGATGTATGAGGTAGAGTGCTTGGAAAGGTAGCATGCAAAAGGAAATTTCGTGAAACAACCAGATACCTTACGTATGTGGATGTATACAGGAATCGGTGGAAGTTTCAAGGAACCCTCACAGCTAGCAATGAG